CAATTATAACCCCATACACTTTACCAGGTACACTCAAAACTTTTCCCCCCATAATTTTTGCATCTCTTTTTTCCCCCTTTCCTTTAACAAAGGGAAATAGCACTCTTGCCAATCCCCAGGGACCTTTTCCCTCTTCCAACATTTTTTTAAATATTGCACCAACCACTCCCAAAAATTATCCCCACCTCTTTTAAATTCTTTTTTATCCCCTCAATCCCGGGTGCCTTAAACCCCCCCTTTTTTTACCTACTGCCCCTCACGAATTCCCCCACACCAAACGGGCTCTTCCTCACTCCTAAAAGATTTTTTCCTCCTTGCCTTCACGAAATCACAGCTTCCCTCTTCTCAACTTTTAAACAATTCCTCAAAATTTTCCCCTCCATTTCCCCCAATACCTTAACTCTCCATTTAATAACTCCCCCTCCCCTTTTTTTTAACTGACAAATCCTTTTTTTTCCTAGGTTTCCCTTAACTTGTTAATCTCATTTCCAAAATTTTTTTCCCCTTATTTTCAAAAAAATTTTTTGAAAACAGCTCCCCCACTCTCTCATTTGCTCTTTTTTTACATTGCTTCACCACTCTCTTAACCTCTCCTTTTTCTCCAATACTTTTCCCCTCCTTGCATCACTTTATTTTTGTAAAAACCTCATAGCTAACTTTTTCCCCCTTACTACTCTCTTTACATCACATTCCACCAATCGCTCCTTTTCCCCCTCCTCACCCATTTCCCCTTAACCAAAAACTTCGCTGAACACCAAACACTACATTTTTAAAAAAAACCCCTTTCCCTTTTTCGCCCCCCATTGTCTATGCTGTATTACCCCCATCTATCCTCCAATGCTGTTTTATCTTACCCAAATCCCTCCCTTTTAGTTTAAAAACCCTTCACCTCCCCTTTTCCCCTGAGCTTCATTTCCTTGTATCCCACACCTTTTCTCTCAGTGTAGTACAAAAAAAGTGTTGATATATCTGTGGCCCCTCGATAAACTTTACACCGAACCCCTACTCAACAGTTTTTATCTACTAATACTAACCCAACAAACTACGTCTTTTCGCCCTACATCATATCGTGTATACTTATTTTTTTCCTTTTTTTCTAAAAATATTATTCCTAAAAACAAAACCCCCCTTTCTATACAAATTAAATCAAGGGCCCCATTATCTTTTACACTGGCACCCCCAAACTTCCCTACCACAACCCCCCTAAAAGTTTCTCCACTTTAGCATTCAGGCCCCCCCACAATTACTTCTCACTTGGTTCAAAGGCTCCCCATACATTCACTTAAAAATCTCCCAAAACCTTCTCCCCTCTGCATTCCCTCTTCTCAGGTGCATACCCCTATTTACCCACTTTTTCGCATCCAACCTTTTCTTTAACCACATAATTCTCGAATTTAACATTCATTTCTCTTTTCCTCCTTCCATAACTGATCATTTAACATTTGCTACCCCCTTCCCTTTTCTCTAACCTCTCAATACTCCAGATTTAAACCCTTTATTTCCCCCCACTGAAACTTCCTACCCCCCCCCCACTTTGTTTCGCTTTTGGCCAGGGCATCCAACCCCTTTTATTCTAACACACAATCATCTGTTTCTTTTCTCCGCACTACATCCACGCACTTTAAAACAACCCATTTTATAAATTTTTCTTTTCTCTTTTTTATAAATGTATACGGGGAAAAGGGGTTACTACCCATTGCCCCCGGGTTTTAGTCGCCTAAACGACACCAGGGCTTACGGGGAAAAGATTTTTTTCCACTTCCCTGGACAATAGAAGAAATAAAAAAAAAAAAGAGCTATTTAAATAAGGAGAAAAACCTAGATGTAGTTATATATATATGCATATCGTTTGTGAAGTGTGCCAAATGTAATAGATAGCAAGTACCCTTTATCTAGCGTGTTTATGGACAGAAAAAAAAACCAACCCTACCATCATGCAAAAAGTTACATTTTTTTGTTTCACAGCATCGGGCGACGGTTATTTTCCCCTGGGTGGTTCTGTTACCAACTCTCCTATAAAAATAAAAGTACCTTTGAATTGACTAAAATACAAATTTCCGTTTTTTAAAACCAAAGTTAAAAAGTAAACATATCATGCTAAGCGCCCAATACATGTCAATGGTGATTAATTTCTTTCACAAGTGCCCCCAAATATTTTTTATACATTTCACATAATTAGTAGTCTGCAAAACATAAATTTTATTTATTGTGAGAATAAAAATTCAAAGTGAAAGCAAAAGAATGTAAAGGGGCATCTGGACGTGACTAATGAACAGGGGAAAGTATTTGTGCCAGAATGTCTTTCTTGTTTATTCGGGCCCATTTGGAAATTGGCATCTTTAAAATTTGGTGAAATTGGGAAAAATTTGCAAAATTTCTGACCACTGTTTTGGATATTAAAAAGGGTAAAGGGGTGGTTTCTTGACTCATTCGATAAAAAAATGGATTTCTAGGAAATAGTTATATTTTTTTCGCTGGTACAGGGGTTGGCCAAAATACGGCTCAAGTGGGCAAAATCCTGATGCATAAACATCATTTAACCGCTAACTTTGTAGAGCAAAAATTTTGTAAGCTTTTTATCAAATTTTTGTACTTTTGGTCTTTTTATCGAAAAAATTTTCTTTCTTTTTACAAGAAAAAAAAATTTTTTTTTTTTTTTAAATTTGGGAAACCCCCCCAGAACACTCTCGAGGGGCCTGTGGGGCCCCGAAAGGGGTTAAATATTTATAGATGGGGTTGTAAAAGAAGTAAAGCTAGGGAGTTCAGGAAGGGTGGGGTTAAATTATGGGGAATCAAAAACAAAATGGGGGAATTGACACGTTGCTTTTTTCTGATGATACTGTTTCTTAGGGGGATTCAAAAAAAATTGCAAAGGTTTGGACGATTATGGGGGTGGGTAAAGGTAAAAGTTTAAAATGAACATAAAAAAGTAAGGTAATGAGGGACAAGTGTTTTGATAAAAAAAAATTTGGGTATCAAATTGGGGAGGGGGGTATGAAGAAGTTAATGGGTTTTTCACTAGTTTTTGGGGTTGACATGTTGCGGATGGGTTTTTTGAAGGAGAGGTTAATCAAGAAATTTTGAGGAAAAAATGAGTGGTGATTGAGGATTTTGGAGACAAAAAACATTATCTATGGTTTTCAAAGAAGGAATGATAAAAATATAGTAAAAAACACCTTATATGGGGGTTTAAGCTTGCGTTGTAAAAGCAGCAGCGAAGGCGGTTTGGGGCGGGAGATGTCCGTCTAAGGGGAGTTGTGGTGTAAATATTGTGCAGAAAATTCGGAGTGTGGAAATTAGGAGAAGGTGTGGAGTTAATAAAAGTATTAGTCAGAGGGCTGAAGAGAGGTTGTTGAGGTGGTTTGATCATTTAGAGAGAATGGATCAAAATAGAATGACATGGAGAGCGTATAAATCTGTAGGGAAAGGAAGGCGGGGTAGAGGCCGTCCTCGAAAAGGTTGGACGGAAGGGGTAAGGGAGGTTTTGTGGGCGAGGGGCTTGGACTTCCAGCAGGCGTGCATGAGCGTGTTTGATAGGAGTGAATGGAGACGAATGGTATTTGGGACCTGACGATCTGTTGGAGTGTGAGCAGGGTAATATTTAGTGAAGGGATTCAGGGAAACCAGTTATTTTTATATAGCCAGACTTGAGTCCTGGAAATGGGAAGTGCAGTGCCTGCACTCTAAAGGAGTGGTTCGGGATATTAGAGGTTTGGAGGGATATGTTATGTATCTTTATACGTATATGCTTCTAAACTGTTGTGTTCTGAGCACCTCTGCAAAAACAGTAATTATGTGTGAGTGAGGTGAAAGTTTTGAATGATGATGAAAGTATTTTCTTTTTGGGGATTTTCTTTTCTTTTTGGGTTACCCTGCCTCGGTGGGAGACAGCCAACTTGTTAAAAAAAAAAAATTCTAACGGCTTCAAATCAAGCAGGAGAAAGCTGGTAGGCTCACATGTGAGAGAATGGGTCTGTGTGATTAGTGTGCACTGTATGAGAAAAAATCCTGCAGCACGCAGTGCATAGTGAGAGAAAAAAAAATGACTGTATTTTTGGATTAAAATGCCAAATTTGAGGTGTATTTTCCTATAGTATTTATCGTCGTATTCTCATTTTCTTGGTCTCGGTTGATAGAATGGCAAACATATTACTGAAATGGCGATGATTTTGATTGTTTCATGATGAAAACGACCTTGAAATTGAGCTCAAAGTAGTGGAATTTTTCAATTTTCACCAATGTTCAAGAGTAAGCAAATCACACCACACGTCCAATACACGTCAATTGGGGAGTCTAACATTCTTTCACTAGTGCACTGATATTATTTATACCATTTTTACAATAATGAAGTAGTCTGCATAACAGTAAATCTTCTATTTTTTGTGTGAATAAAAAATTGAAATAGAAAGCAAGAGTAATATAAGAGGGGCCTGGAGATGTGACTAATGAACAGAGGATATGTTATTTTAGTGCCAAGAATGTCTTCATTGTTTATTCTGGACCCTGTTTTGAAATTGGCATCTTTTTTAATTTGTGTGAAATTGGCCAAATTTCAAATTTCTGACCACTTTATTGGGTAGTTGAAATCAGTAAATGGGCAGTTTCTTGTACACAATTGATAGAAAAAATGGAGTTCTAAAGAAATAGCTTTGAGTTTGGTCGATTGGAGCAATGGAATTAGCCGAAAATAGGGCTCAAAGTCGGCGAAATCACTGATGCGTATATATCGCTGAGATCGCTAACTTCGCGGGAGCGCAATTCCATAAGTTTTTGATCAAATTTTGTACTTTTGGTGTCATTACAATCGGGAAAAGATTCTCTATCATTTCAGAAGATTTTTTTTTTTTTTCCAAAAATTTTTTTCGACACCAGGAGACACTTCAGGATTTGGGGTTGTGACAGTCAAAGGGTTAAGTGCATTCTGTATTTGTTTTTATTGTGTGTATCTAAATGTTCTTTTGTAAAGTTTTCATTAATAGTATATTGTTTTTGCATTACAGGGGGTCCTCCAAGCAGCAGGTACAAAGCCAGAGTACTGAATATTCCCCCACCTCTGGCAGGACCATCATCTAAATCCCCAGAAATAATCCCGGAGAAAAGCCCCTCATCATCAGGAGCTTCACCCTCTAAGTCTGGGAGTCGCAGCAGACACCGGTCATCTTCCCCACCAATCAGCCCCACTTTATCTCACCAAACTACTCCCTCCAAGTCACAGAGCTCATCTTCTGGCAAGCCATCATCACCTTCTAAAACATCCGCTAACAAATCATCAGCGTCATCCTCATCCTCAACATCGTCATCATCATCATCATCATCAACAACAGCCAGTAAACTTTCATCTTCATTATCAGCAACAGCAGCAGGTAAAAGCTCATCATCATCAACAGGTAAGAACTCATCTTCATCAACAGCAGCAAGTAAACTCTCATCATCTTCATCAACAACAGCAACAGGTAAACTCACATCATCAACCAAAGCATCATCTAAACCATCATCAACATTAACATCAGGGTCATTATCATTACCTTCATCTCCCACGAAGACCCCTGCAGGATCAGCGGGTTCTGAGAGTAGTACCACCACCTCAGCCATCACAGTCAGTCGGTCAGAAACATCCACCACCAGTACTAGTACAGTAGCACCCATAAGTTCATCTACCATTAATCTAACTCAGCCTCCAGCATCCATATCTCCGGAACCACCTACTTCCCCGTCAGTGTCATCCTCCCATAAACCAGTAACTTCGTCTTTGGGGTCCAGCAGTGGTACAGGCTCGACTGCACCAGCTTGCATAGGACCAGAGTCAACTAAACCAGTGCAGCCACAAAAGTCCCCAAATATAACAGTGACTGAACCTGATACCTCATCTGTCCATAAATTAAGTGCCTCAGGTTAGTTCTAATGTTTACTCTTACAGATATCTAACATTTTCAAATATTCTTTGAACCAAGTAGTTGATTTTAAAAATAGGAAATATGTGGAAGAATTTTAAAGGAAGTTCAATAAGAATAGTTCACTTGCAACAGTTTAAACTTGATATACACGATCATTTTCTGTTTCAGTCATTGTGTATGTTAATCATGGGTGTACATGTGGTCCGTACCTGGACAGTGGTCGGGTGGGAGAACTTCCACTTCAGTTTGGTCCTGGGAGTCTCAACCGTGTTGTACGCGAGTCTATACAAGCTCTTGTAGATACTGCACCAGAACCTAGAACTGTTACTACCCTTCTACCTCATGGAAATGGCAAAGTCATTATCAAAAGTATGTAGCAGTATAGTGTATATACCATCTGAGGTATAGCATGCACCTATCAATATCTTTTCTCTCTGTTACATCTTTGATTTTACCCATTCCTTGATCAAATGTCCTCAGATCAAATCTTACTACACATTTCATTCTTTGTTAGGTATTATGCAAATGAAGGCAAGGTAGGAAAAATTAGCTTACAAGAGGCTTTTACAATTCCAAAGTTATACACAGAAGGCAGAGTAAATGGACAGAAAAAAGAGATGTTAAAAGAGTGGTGAGGAAGTGTAAAAGGAGAGCTAGTGAGAGAATGGGTTAGGCTTTAACAAATTTTGCTGAGAATACAAAAAAAGGGTTATGGATCAAGATAAATTAGTTGAGAAAGCCTATGGAACAAATGGGCTTGTCGGTTGAAAACGAGAGGGGAGATATTAGATAGGGAAGTAGAAGTACTTGGAAGATTGAGGGAACATCTTTAGGAATTGATAAAGGTATATGATAGGGTGGATAGGGAAGCCGTGTGCTATACATTTCAGATGTTTGGAATAGAAAGTGAGTTACTATGAGCAGTTGAGTTTTTATGAAAAAAGTGAGACTCAAGTTAGGGTATGTAGAAAGAAGGTATTTTTTACAGTGAAAGTAGGATTTAGACAGGGATGCATGATGTCATCCTGATTGTTTAACATATTTGTAGATGGAGTTGTGAAAGAAGTAAACGCTAGGGTGTTGAAAAAGAGGTGTGGGATTTAACGATTTGTCGTGTGGAAATTAGGAGGAGGTGTGGAGTTACTGAAAGTATTATTCAGAGGGCTGAGGAGGGGTTGTTGAGGTGGTATGGTCACTCAGAGAGGATGGCTTGGAGTGTGTATAAATCTGTAGTGGAGGGAAGAAGGGATAGGAGTCATCGTAAAAAAGGATAGATGGAGAGGGGTACAAGAGGTTTTGTGCAAGGGGCTTGGACATACAGCAGGCATGTGTGAACGTGGTTTTTGGGAATTGATGAGCTGTTGGAGTGTGAGCAGGGTAATATCTTTTGAAGAGATTCAGGGAAACCAGTTAGCCGGACTTCAGTCCTGGAGATGGGACGTACAATGCTTGCAATTTAAAGGAGGAGTTTAGGAAATTTACTGTTTAGAGTGGCATCTAAAATGTTGTATTTGCACGCCTCTGTAAAGATAGTGAAGTGTAAATGATAGTGAAAGTGTTTTTTTTTTTGGGGGGGGAGGGAAGGGTCACCCTGCCTTGGTGGGAGACGGCCAGCACATTAACCCTTTGACTGTCGAGGTCGTATATATACGTCTTACGAGGTACCGTGTTTGACGTATATATACTCATAAATTCTAGCGGCTTCAAATCAAGCGGGAGAAAGCTGGTACGACAACATGTGAGAGAATGGGTCTGTGTGGTCAGTGTGCACCATATGAAAGAAATCCTGGAGCATGCAGTGCATAATGAGAAAAAAAAAACTCCGACCGTATTTTTTAATTAAAATGCCAACTTTGTGGTCTATTTTCGTATAGTATTTATGGTTGTATTCTCGTTTTCTTGGTCTCGTTTGATAGAATGGAAATCATATTATAGAAATAGAGGTGATTTTGATTGATTTTACTATAAAAAGAAACTGGAAATGGAGCTCAAAGTAGAGGAAATGTTTGATTTTTGCCGATGTTCAAAAGTAAACAAATGATGTCATTGTCCAATAAATGTCCAACTAGCCATTCTAATATGCTGTCATGAATGGGTTGATGTTATTTATACAATTATTACAGTATTGCAGTAGTCTGCATAACAGTAAATCTTCTATTTTTTGTTTGAATAAAAATTCAAAATAGAAATCAAGAGTAATATCAGAGGGGCCTGGAGACGTGACTGATGAACAAAGAAAATGTTATTTTAGAACCAGGAATGTCTGTATTGTTCATTCTGGACCTTATTTTGAAATTGTCATATTTTTTAATTTTCGTGAAATTGGCCAAATTGCAAATATCTGACCACATTATTGGGTAGTTGAAATTGGTAAATGGGCAGTTTCTTGTACTCAATCGATAGAAAAATGGAGTTCTAAGGAAATAGCTATGAGCTTGGTTGACTGGAACAATGGAATTAGCCGAAAATAGGGCTCAAAGTGGGCGAAATCGCCGATTTGTAAATATCGCCATCAGTTTTCCATCAAATTTCATGTTTTTGGTGTCATTACAATCGAGGAAAGATTCTCTATCATTTCATAAGAATTTTTTTTTTTTTTTTAAATTTTGCGACGCCAGGAGACACTTCAGGATTGAGAGTTGTGACAGTCAAGGGGTTAAAACAAATACTAAGAGGTATTTAACCCTATAGTCGGACTTGAGTCCTGGAAATGGAAGTACAATGCCTGCACTTTAAAGGAGGGGTTTGGGATATTGGCAGTTTGGAGGGATATGTTGTGTATCTTTATATGTGTATGCTTCTAAACTATTGTATTCTGAGCACCTCTGCAAAAACAGTGATAATGTGCAAGTGTGGTGAAAGTGTTGAATGATGATGAAAGTATTTTCTTTTTGGGGATTTTCTTTCTTTTTTGGGTCACCCTGCCTCGGTGGGAGACGGCCGACTTGTTGAAAAAAAAAAAAAAATTAACCCTGTTGTTTTTGGCTGATGACAGTTCATTTGGGGGAACTAAAACAAATTGCAAAAGTTAGTGGACAAATTTGGGAGGGCATAAAAAAAAAATTAAAAGTGAACATGAAAAAGAGCAAGGTTATGAGAGTAACAAAAAAAGCCTAGGAATGATAGCCTGAATATCAGAATGGAGGGATGGAATATGGAGGAAGTGGATGCATTTAGATATTTGGGAGTGGACATGTCAGTAGATGGGTCCGTGAAAAATGAGGTGAACTGTAGAATGAATGATGAGAGAAAGGTGGGTGGTGTGTTGAAGAATTTATGGAAAGAAAGAAATTTTTCTACGAAGGCTAAAAAGGGATTATATCAGAGTATAGATTTTTTCCCAACATGCTGATCATCTCCCACTGAGGCAGTGTGGTCCTTAAAAGAAAGAAACACTTTCACCATCATTTGCACATAATCAGTGTTTGCAGAGGTGTGCAGATATGTCTTCAGACATTACTCCAAACAGCAAATGTCCCAACCCCCTTCTTTTAAGTGCAGGTACACTGTTGTATTTCCCACCTCCAGGACTCAAACCCGGCTAATGGTATAAAAGTGCCAATACTTAATTTGGTTTTGAATACTGCAGCAAGAATGAGGTTAGAGGTTAGAGATAGTGGGGATGTCATGCTTGAGAGCAATGTGTGGTGTGAATATTGTGTAGAGAATTCAGAGAGTAAAAATTAAAAGGTAATGTGGGGTCACCAAGGGTATACTGTAATTTGAAGGGCTGAAAAAGGGTTGCTATGATGGTGTGAGCATGTAGAAAGGATGAAGAGGGTGTTTAATCCCTCGACTGTCGCAACCCCAAATCCTGAGGTGTCTCCTGGAGTCGCAAAATTTAAAAAAAAAAAAATTCTTATGAAATGATAGAGAATCTTTTCCCAATTGTAATGACACCAAAAGAACAAAATTTGATGGAAAACTGACGGAATTACACTCTCGCGAAGTTAGCGACCTCGGCGATACTTATGAATCGGCGATTTTGCCCACTTTGAGCCCAATTTTCAGCTAATTCTATTGTTCCAGTCGACCAAACTCATAACTATTTCTTTAGAACTCCATTTTTTCTATCGATTGAGTACAAGAAACTGCCTATTAACCGATTTCAACTACCCAATAACGTGGTCAGAATTTTGCAATTTGGCCAATTTCACGAAAATTAAAAAATATGACAATTTCAAAATAGGGTCCAGAATGAACAATGCAGACATTCCTGGCTCTAAAATAACATTTTCTTTGTTCATTAGTCACATCTCCAGGCCCCTCTGATATTACTCTTGCTTTCTATTTTGAATTTTTATTCAAACAAAAAATAAAAGATTTACTGTTACGCACACTACTGCAATATTGTAATAATTGTATAAATAATGTCAACCCATTCATGACTGCATATTAGAATGGCTAGTTGGACATTTATTGGAAAATGACTTCATTTGTTTACTTTTGAAACATCAGCAAAAATCAAACATTTCCTGTACTTTGAGCTCCACTTCAAGATTCTTTTCATAGTAAAACCAATCAAAATCACCTCTATTTCTATAATATGTTTTCCATTCTATCAAATGAGATCAAGAAAACGAGAATACAACCATAAATACTATATGAAAATAGACCACAAAGTCGGCATTTTAATTAAAAAAAGCGGTTGTTGTTTTTTTCTCATTGTGCAATGCATGCTGCAGGATTTTTTTATATGGTGCACACTGACCACACAGACCCATTCTCTCACATGTGGGCCTACCAGCTTTCTCCTGCTTGATTTGAAGCCGCTACAATTTATGAGTATATATACGTCAAAAACAGTGGCTCGTAAGACATATATATATGACCAAAACAGTCAAAGGGTTAAATCTGGGGATAGACGGTAGGATCCATCCCAGGGATGTTGGGAGGAAGTTTTAAAAGAGGCTGAGAGTTTTAGTGGCTTGAGCATCCAGCAAGCTTGTGTGAGCTCGTTAGGAGTGAATAGAGACATGTGGTTTTTAATGGACAGGCTATTGGAATGTGAGCAAGGTAACTTATGAAAGGATTCAGGTAAAATTAGATGCCTGCACTAGAGTCTTGGAAGTGGAAAAGACACTACCTGCATTCTGAAGCTGGGATGGGAATTTTATAGCCAGAAGATAATTTGATTGTGAAGTCAGCCCATTTTTGGAAAAACAGTTATTAAATTAACCCTTAAGCTGTCCAAGCAGATCTATGTTCATATGCGTAGTGCTCCAAAAGTAGATCTACGTTTTTTTTTTATATATATATTTTCAAATGTGTATTTTTTAAAATATTTTCAAATGTTGAAAAAACGTAGATCTACATTTGGACAGTTTAAGGGTTAATAATGGTAAATGTGTTTTCTGCCTTGGATCAATGGCCATTGAGTTAAAAAAATTACATGTATATATTTTTTTATCTTACAAATTTTGAAATTGAACTTTATCTAGTTAAATATTTTTTCTTGCAGCCAATGTAGATGGTGAGGCTGAGACACACCGCCTTCCATCTTTAGACAAAGTGGAGGACTTCTGGAGTGTGTTAGAAACAATGTTTGAAGAACTGATGTGCTGTGAAAATTTTTACACTCAAAAACCTCTGAGCCAATGTACAAAGTGTGCACGCCAAAGTCCTGCACAATTCAAAAGAGGTAAATAACACTCCTCAAATACAGCATTGTTTGTAGAAATTAATTCCAGGATTAGGTATCATCAGTGATTACCTATTTTTACTTATCTATTGGTGCTGCATGACTCCTGCAAGTTTAGTGCTACCCCATTAAGATAAAAATCGTAATAAAAATAATAATAATAATAATAGTAGCTACAAGAGCAAAAATATATTAGTGGTGTCCCATCTTCAGTAATCATGTAAAAAAAAAGTTCTAGCAATAGTAATATTTTACTATTTTTTTCTTGAGATCCATTCCATTGTCCTATCAGTTTTTGAAAAGAACTTTCCAGTACAGTGGTCCCTTGAGTTACAGTATTAATCTGTTCCAGTAAACATTCCATACCCCAATAAAAGATTGCATTATATTGTATTTGTTTCTTGTTTTTTATCGTGTCTGTATTTTATACCATTTTCCTCCATCTGTATATTGTTATATCTAAATACAGTGGTACCTCGGGATACGAACTTAATTCGTTCCAGAAGGCTGTTTGAGTGCTGATACCGAACGAATTTGTTCCCATAAGGGATAATGTAAATTAGATTAATCCGTTTCAGACCCAAAAAATACACTTACAAAAGCACTTACATAAATACACTTCCATAATTGTTCGCATTTTGAGCTGTTCATATCACGAGGTACCACTGTACTTTGGTCTTTCTTTGTAGCTCTCAGTGTTTAGTTCTAGGAGTTGTTTTGTGGCTCATCATTGGAGCTTTCCTATCTTATTTAATTTTTTTTATTTGCACATTTTATACCACCACTGCATATTCCAGTTTTGATCTATTGTATGATATGAATAGCTTTTCCATGTTCAGATTCCATGAACCACTAATAGGAATGCAGTCCATTGGTGTAACCTCTGTAACACAGCAATAGACTCTCGGGACCATTTTTTTACTCCAGTAAAAGGACTGCTTACATATGTGTATGGTTGCATGGACATTTTGGCTCTATCTAGCATCTGCCTCAGATATTTCTGAGTACAGCTCTTTACACCTGCCTGTCATAGCTAGATAACTGCAACAGTAGTGGACTTCCAAATTGTTTCTCACTCTTGGAGGACAGTAATCTGCATTCATTCTGCTACACACATGTCTTGTTTTGACATTTTACTATATTCTCTGTGACTAGCTGAACCTACAGTGGATCGAAGTGGTAAAAAATGTCACTGTCTCAGTGGTGTGGACGTCTCTGAAACATGAGCTTTTCCTTCTAAACCATCATATTTTCTCGTTCATGAGCTGGATAATTGATATACATCAGATAGTCCCAAAAAACAGTAAAGGTTTAGAAGTTAAGTCTTTCACAAGGAATTCTTGAAAGCTTACTTAAAATCTAAATGCTGCTATAAATAGAACTTGACCATTTGTTTCTTGAAAAATTTCTGTCTGGTAATAGCTTAATAGATTTTATTTGCTACATGTGCAGGAGTATGTTGATTGAAAACTGAACCACTTGCTGGTGGTTGGATTTTTACTCTCCAAGTGTGGTAAATGTGGCATTGATACATTAGGAATAAGAAACACATTCCAAGTTTATCGGATCATATTAAGTATGGACTTCACATGGCCCTGTTTAGGGTAAAACATTTAATAAAAAATTCTCTCTCTGCTATATGTGTTACACATTCCTTACTCTCCAGGTGATTTATCCACATTTCTCTAATGGCTTTTAATATTATTTTGACAATGACACTTGTCAATGAGATGGGTTTGTAGTTCAAAAATTTATTAGAAATTTATTTTTTTTTTTTTTAAGTTTGATGTACAAAAACAGTCAAATTCTAAATGAAAATCTTTCCCTGTGGAACAGAACAAGAGGCTGCAAATCAAGTTGTGATAGGTGCAAAAAGATCAGCTCCCAGTGAGCCAACGGAAGCTGTCACGCCCTCCAAGGTTGCTAAGCCAGTTATACAAGGTAAGTTTGTACTCTTCACCTTCATATTGGTTATGAATGCATGTCACTGCTCTCATCTATTCTTCATAGGGCTGTACTTGGAACACGCACTAATGTTTGAGCACACACTGGTTGGATACAAAACTTCACCCTCACTCGGTGAGAGACAGCCGATGTGTTAAAAAGAATCATTCTAGGTTAAGGATTTTTTCTTATGACTTTACTGATAATAGAATAATATTCATATTTCTTTGAAAATTTTAATCACTTTATTGACAACACCTAAAGGATAGCCATTTCTAGCCTTAACCCCATTTACAGCAGATGCATGCAAGAACTGACCCATTCATGCATAATACAGTACATATAAGCATATTTTTTAAATACCTGTGTATGGTACTGCACTGTGATACAAAAAAAAAAGAGTTGCATTACCTGATTTATTATTATGTAAATAGGATATTGTAATTAAATTGATTAAAACATTTTTTTTATGCTGAAAATAGTCTTTGTAATCTGAAATGTTCATAATGGTCATTATTTAGAAGTGCTCTGCAGCAGTCCACCTCATCACAGGTTCACTTGTTACTCTGTTGTACATGCACATTCAAGAGTTAATTAATTTCACCCAGCTAGCACACACTTAAATAAAACCATTGATTCACCACCATGTCACTGACCTCATTGTCTTCATCTGTAGTGTTACACATTGGTTACTTAAATTATAAGGTTTATGATTTCTTTAAATTAGTGATGATTAATATCTTTCTTGCTTTCAATCACCTTGCCTTAGTAACGAACAGTTGATGTACTAAAAACCATATATGAATGTGATTGTTTTAATAAGTGGTAGATAAAATAACTATAGCTGATTCTTAATTGTTCAACCATGAATATTTGACAATAATGTTCAGGATAACATTGTACTGTATAAGCTGAAAAGGAAGAGTAGAATGAAATGTAGTCCAAAGTGGCTTAAGATTAATAAAAATAACTAAGGGACAGGGATTAAAATACATGGAAAAGGATGCCTTGTGATCTTACCTGTAATGTGAAAAGCATCTGTCACTGGATGTAATGGGAATTAGAATGTAGTGTGCACGTTATGAAAGTATTAGCTTACCTGGCAAGAAGTGAAGAAAAGTCATACATGTGCAACAACTGTTTGTTGTTTACCTCGGTGTATAAGATAGATTTTTTTTTAACACTGGCTGTCGTCCATCGAGGTACGGTAATGTAAAAAAGGAAACACATTCAGCATCATTCTTTTAATAGCTGTCCTGCCAGTAGTGCACAGACATTGCAATTCAAATCACCTCCACACTGAAGGAGAGGTGAGGATGTAGCAGAGTGCAGGCATTGTACTTCCCACCTGCAGCACTCAAGTCAGGCTAACTTGTTTCCCAGTTTCCTTTCATAAATGTTACCATGCTCACACCCCACCAGCTCGTCAAGTCATAAAAACCACTTGTCTCCACTCAGAACTAAACCATTTGCACAAGTGCACAAGCTTGTAACAGCATGTCAAGCCATAAAGACCACTTGTCCCCTTATATCTAAACTGCTAACACAAGTCTACTGGATGTTCAATCTCCTAGCACTCCAAACCTCTTTTGTCCCCTTCCTCCAGCCCTTCTTGGGATGACCCTTACCCTTCCATGTCTTGGTCATCCTAATTGCTCCATCCTTCCTAAATACCCAAACCTCCTCAAGAACTTCTTCTCAGCTCTGAATTAGAGCTGAGAAAGTGTAATTACACCTTTGGTACTCACCTATTTCTATGCACAAATAATGAAAGGCACAGTACAGTGACTAGAACAGTACACAAATAACCAGCACATAGGAGAAAGAAACTTATGATGACATTTCAGTCAGACTTGGACTATTAACTTATCACACACTGTGACTTGTTAATGGTCCGAGTCGGACTGAAACGTCATCATAAGTTTTTTTTCTCGTATGTGCAGGTTATTTGTGTTTAATTCTACGCACAATCTTCACACCCTAAGGTTAGGTACTATTAAATATTTGTTGTGATCTTGTTTCAAGTTTCTGCACATGCTCATGTCTTTAAGTTAATTTCTGGTAAGTTTTACACATAAGGTTTCTTATAAAGCATTTTCATTTATTGCCATTGAAGGTATTCCAGTATGGCCTTGTTATATCTTCACTTTTATACCTCTTAGTTTACTTTTCTACAATTTATTTATTGAATTTCTTTAACGGAATCATATGGATATTTTTTAACCCTTAAACTGTCCAAACGTAGATCTGTTCATCTGTATAGCACTCCAAACGTAGATCTACATTTTTTTTTTTTTTACATTTGAGAGCATGTAAAATAAAACATAGATTTATGTTTGGAGTGCTACACACGTGAACATAGAGCTACATTTGGACAGTTTAAGGGTTAATAGTTATAAAGTACAGTGGACCCTCGACATTCGATGGCATCAACATTTGATAAATCCGACATTCGATGCATTTTAACTCAAAAATTCGCCTCGACATTCGATGGAAAACCCGACATTCGATATGATTTGTATGAGACGTGTCCATGTGTAGCCTGAACTGCACCGTGTGTGCCAGTGTGCGCGCATCTAAGGATACATTCGGTACATTCCATATTATCCATATTATCACTGTTTTTGGTGCTTGTTTCTGCAAAATAAGCAACCATGGGCCCCAAGAAAGCTTCTAGTGCCAACCCTTCGAGAAAAAAGGTGCTAATGACTATTGAAATGAAGAAAGAGATAATTGCAAAGTACGAAAGTGGAGTGCGTGTGTCGGAGTGCATGATGATTTGGTAAAGAAATTGCCTGCAACTAGTGGTGATGTGAGTGAATTTAAGGCCAGCAAAGGTTGGTTTGAAAGATTTAAGAATCGTAGTGGCATACACAGTGTGCTAAGGCATGGTGAGGCTACCAGTTCAAGCCCTAATGGAAGGGGATTCCCCTTCTAAACACAAACACCATCCACACTCTCCCCTCCTCCCATTCCATCAATCACCACCAGATCTTCATTAAAGGTAAGTGTCAATTATTCTATTGTTATTGTTGTTATTGTAATTATTCTGTTGCATTAAACTTAATATTTCATGTGGTAAAATTTCTTTTTTCATACTTTTGGGTATCTTGCACGGATTAATTTGATTTCCATTGTTTCTTATGGGGAAAATTAATTCGACTTTCGATGTTTTTGACATTCGATGGCTCTCAGGAACAGATTAATATCGAATGTCGGGGGTCCACTGTAATTTAAATTTTTGTAATTGTCTTCAATAATTTTTACATTGCATCTTTAAACATTTCCTACTGCTGGAATATAAGGTAATCTACAATGTATTTTTCAGAACACTGAAAGGCTTAGGAATTTAATTAGGAAATACGTAGTAAAAAGTAAACTAAATCTTAAAAAATAAATAAAATTTGTGTGATTATGATGAACAATGTTGGCAATTTTTTTTTACTTTTAACATGCTTTAGAGCAAAAATCACAATACTGGAAAAATGTTCAAGGGAAAGTACCCTGATGTTAGTGAAGGGATCTTGATTTGAGGATTTGGAGTTACCCCTTCCTCTCCTTGACTCAGACAAGATTACCTCTCATTCTCTAGGTGCTTCCCTATCATAGGCAAATGATAGGGTGGATTGGAAAGCAATGTAGCAGATGTTGCAAGTGTATGGATTAGGTGGTAAGTTACTTAAAGCATTTAAGTTTTTTTATGACAGCGAGGCTGGGGTTTGGAAATGTAAGGGAGAGGAAGATTATTTTCCACTAAAAGTACGCCTTAGACAGGGATGCGTGATGCTACTATGGTTGCTTAACATATTTATAATGGGGTTTTGTGTAGGCGGGTAGGTGCGCACACGTGTGTGCCTGGGGTGAGTTTCCTTAAGGATTAGATGTGGTCCTTAACCCTTGACTGTCGCAACCCCAATCCTGAGGTGTCTCCTGGTGTCGCAAAATTTAAAAAAAAAAATTATTTTTTCTTATGAAATGATAGAGAATCTTTTTTCGATTGTAAAGACACCAAAAAAACGAAATTTGATGGAAAACTGACTGAATTACGCTCTCGCGAAGTTAGCGACCTCGGCGATATTTACAAATCGGCGATTTCGCCCACTTTGAGCCCTATTTTCGCTAATTCCATTATTCCGGCCAACCAAACTCATAGCTATTTCTTCAGAACTCCATTTTTTCCATCGATTGAGTACAAGAAACTGCCCATTTACCGATTTCAACTACCCAATAACAAATTTGCAATTTGGCCAATTTCACGAAAATTAAAAAATATGACAATTTCAAAATAAGGACCAGAATGAACAATGCAGACATTCCTGGCTCTAAAATAACATTTTCTTTGTTTCATCAGTCATGTCTCCAGGCCCCTGTGATATTACTCTTGCTTTTTATTTTGAAATTTTATTCAAACAAAAAATAGAAGATTTACTATTATGCAGACTACTGCAATACTGTAATAATTGTAAAAATTACATCAACCCATTCATGACTGCATATTAGAATGGCTATTTGGACATTTATTGGACAATGACATCATTTGTTTACTTTTGAACATCGGCAAAAATCAAACATTTCCCGTACTTTGTGCTCCATTTCCAGGTTCTTTTTATAGTAAAATTAATCAAAATCACCTCTATTTCTATAATATAGTTTCCATTCTATCAAATGAGACCAAGAGAACGAGAATACAACCGCAAATACTATACGAAAATAGACCACAAAGTCGGCATTTTAATTAAAAAAAACGGTCGGAGTTTTTTTTCTCATTATGCACTGCGTGCTCCAGGATTTTTTTTATATGGTGCACACTGACCACACAGACCCATTCTCTCACATGTGGGCCTACCAGCTTTCTCCTGCCTGATTTGAAGCCGCTAGGATTTATGAGTATACAGTGGACCCCCGCATAACAATCAGCTCCCAACTCGACCAATTATGTAAGTGTATTTTTGTAAGTGCTTTTGTAGGTGTATTTTTGGGGGTCTGTAACGGACTAA